TCACTATGCTTTTTATTTCTTATCTTTTTGATAATAGTAACACTAACAGGTGTGAGGTAACATCTCAATGTGATTTTTATTTGCATTTCCTGGTAATTAACAATGATGAGCATCTTTTCATGTACTTTTTGGCCATCCATGTGTCTTCTTTGGAAAAATATCTATTCACATCGTCTGTATATGTGTGAGTTCATTTCTGGGCTTTTTCTTCTGTTCCATCCATCTATGTATTTGTTTTCATGCCAAGGACATGGGTTTTCTCTGTATTATTTCTTACAACTGCATCCAACTATAATTATTTCAAAAGAAAAGTTTAATGAAAAGAAAAAGCTTATCTGTATGTTGACAAGCTAAATGGGGGCTGCCATGTTAAACAAAGGCTATTTCTTAGCCACTAGCATCCATCTCCTCTTGTTTTGGTAGGAACAGCATGCTCTTGTTTGTGGTTTCTTCTTCCCCATCACATGCAGTCTTGTGGGAGAGGGGGCTATATTAAGATGCCTTTCCCTCCCTTAGACACAGGATGAAATATTGACAGACATTGTCTTCCAGGTTTTTCAATCTGGAAGCAGAGTGGATGCAAGGATGGAGGAAACAATGTGAATTCTTTTATTATAGCAACTGAGCCCTGACCACATTGCTGACTAGTTCCTGCTGCTTAGATGCCAGATATGCCCTGTATTCCAGGTGTTTTGGTCCTGACATCTATTTCTTAGCATTTCTATGAATTCTGTCAATATCCCAATATCTTCTCCAAAATTCTATTAAAAAAAAAGAATATAATTGGTTTGGATTACCTGCCTTTTGCTCTTCAAAGATATCTTAAAATACCTGAGCTGTCAATTACCCTAGTTTCACATCATGTCAGTTTTCTTACTTTTTGCATATGGACTAATTTAGAGTTCGCCAACATTGGGACATGCATCATTGGGACATGCAACAAGGATTCAAAGACTCTTTCAGGCAGAAGTCACTGTGAAAGGAAATGCAGTGATGTATTTAAACCATGTAACAATGCCTAACATATCACAAGCTGTTGACAACTACTACAAAGGTGGTGA